TGTGCACTCAAAAGACATCCTGAAGTGAGTCCCTGTGCTTCCATAAAATGAAAAAGTATTCCAGATAGCCTAGAGAAATCTGCAGTGTTTGCAGATCAATCAACATCTCAACTGCTGTCCCTTATTTTCCCAACAGTTTTCTCCCTGAAACATTAGTTGGGGGCATGTGCTACATCCATCTCCTGGTGTTTTATCGGCAAATCCTTGGAGATGCCCTCCTGAAGGACAGGATGAGCATGCAAAGCACAGGTGAGCACTGAAGGAAGATCAGGTTCACCCAGGGAATGACTCTCTCCAGAGTTTCCCTCTGGTAAGAGATGTTTTTGGCACTCTGGCTAAGTTAGCCTCTTTGTTTTTTTTTTTTTTTTTAATTATTGTTTACTTGCTGACAGTAGGGAGAGACCAAAGTTGGAGAATTCTGGTTTTAGAACTCAGTGTCTTGCCCTGATTATTCAGCAGAACTAATGATAGTTTATACCCTTCCCTATTTAAAAACCAATTTGAAATAAGGAAAAATTACATTTCTTAACTGTACTACATTTGAATTTATATAGGTGAGAACTGCCACACTTACCTGGTTTGTTCTTCATGATTTAGGACAGTAGATCAGGCCAGTGACCTCTCCTGGAGTTAAATTGCATCCCTTTGGATTCAGACTTCATTTGAGGTCATCGAAAGGCTTTATCCCAGAAGTTGTTCTGGTAGCTGTGCAACTAAAGAAGATTTCTATTATTTCAAAATCCACCATCACTTTAGGAATAGACTGAAACTGAAAATGTCTGTTCTACTCCCCAGAAGTCATCAGCCTGGCTCCCTTCCCCAAAATGTTTTGGCATTAGTAAATGCTTCATGTTTACCAAACCTCCAATCAGCTTCAAGGTGAAGAAACAAGTGTACCTTCAATATTTGAAGTCACACAATAAAGAAAACACTTCAGCCAAAATCCTGCTCTCTGTCACCTGGATCCTTACCCACAGTCTCATTAATTAAAATAATATCAGGAACAGAGTGATTTCTCATGGAAGTGATCCAAAAAGCACCAGCTCACCTGTGCAGTGGGATATGGGCCCCATAGGGAAAATTCACTGTGCACTTGGTCCCTGGTTCTCCTAAAATGCCACATCAGACACAGGCTGAGGTAGAACCCAAGTGTGTTTATCCATAACATCCAAACCAAGCAGCACAATTACAGCTGTGTGTAAAAAAGACAGGTGCAGAAATGAGGGAAAACACCCCTGGCAGGTAAATCGGGAAGGGCTCGTGTTTGCTGGCATTCCCAAAAAACAGCACTGGGGTTTGTGTGTCTCCTCTCCTAGTTTAACTGTCTCTCAGCCACTGAGAATTGGCTGCAGTCAGAACAGTTTTTAGGGAATTCTCCTACCTTCCCTGCTCTGGAGAACTGTTACAGCTCATTTTCCCTTTGGAATAATCTGTCAGGAGGGGATGTGCTGAACACCTGAATGGGCCAATACTTTGAAAACCATCCTGATTCCTTCTTAGCCTTGACTGTGCTTGCTTTCTGTTGCAGACTTAATCTGTAATCCTGTTTTAGCAACTTTCCCTCAACTCCTGGATCAGCCAGACCTGATGGATGCACTTCGGGTATGTTACCTTGTTGAGATTTCCAGGCAAAATTTGAGCTTTTTTTCTGTCCTGGGAGAAGACAAAGTTCTCCACAGCCTTGGTCTGATTTTACATTTCATTCTAGAGTGCCTGGGCAGACAAAGAAAGAACATTGAAGAGAATTGAGAAGGTAACAAACTAAAAGTTTTTCTTTCCATATATTCAGGGTAATTTGAGCTAGCTGCAATTGCTGCTTAACTTTTCCTCTCACTGTACATCTATTTGGAAAATAGAGATATGTAAATGCAGTTCTTAACATTTCTCACCCAGATTTTTAACAGTAAACCAGGAGGAAAATTAAATTAACTTGTAACGTTTTATTTCAGTGTTGTTAGAGGGGGAACCTGTTACAGTGTGGCTCCCTGTCAGGATGTGCTTCCAATAGTCAGCTGGTAAAAGCTTTCCATGGAAACATAAGGGGCTGTGTATGCCCCCAAAATCATATTCCCTCCACCAAACTCTGAGCTTCAGTCCTCCCACAGTCTGCCTGGGAAAAGGCCCCCAAATTCCTCAGATGTCCCTGCCCCAGACAGTTGTAATCCCGCATTTTGGCACATAGACAGCTGGAGAACTGACCTGGTGGTCCCCAGGCTCACCCACACCTTGTCCTACCTCCTGTCCCACAGACAGAGAGCAGCTGCAGGGAACTGAATGGGAAAGCCATTGGCTCTCAGTCCTGCATTTCCTGGGAGCAGCAGCGGGATATTTCATTCCCTGTGCGTGCTCCTGGATTGATGCGCAAGGACAGCTCCCTGTTTACGCAGAACAAACACCCGCTGAGTCAGAGCGGCTTTTTCAGGGCCATTCATCCAAAAGGAAAGCAGATCTGCTCACGGAATTGGCAACTCCCCGGGCTCCCAGAACCATCCAGTTCTACCTGACTGGCATGTGCCACTCCCACGGGAGGATTGCTGCCTGCTGAAGGCTCACCCCTCGCGTGGTTCCGTGAGGCTGAGCCCTGCAATGCTCCCTGCCAGGCACAGCGCTCCTGGGGCTGGGACACTCCGGACTTGGATCTTTCCCGTGTGTTTGATAATTGACCAGGCTGATCCTTTGGGTTTTCCAAACTGATCTTTATAGGGGTGCACACAGGTCACACCATGCACAAAGAGAGCCCGGGGGCAGCATCACCTCTGGCTGCAAGGAGTGGGATCAAAGCCACGCTCCGCCTAGGAGAGCAGGGAAATGAGAGGAGTTTGAGTTTCCAGGACAGGGAAGATACAATATTAAGAAAATATAAATACTCCACAGCAAAGGGCTCTCAGTGCCTGTAGTTTGTGTGAAGGCTGGCAGAGTTCAGTGCAGGTTTGTTGGTATGCTGGAGGCTTTTCCAAGATAACCGATATGTGTTTAGGAAGGTCAAATCTCTTCCCATTGCTTTCCTGGGAACTGGGAGTGAGTTGTTTGGGTTTTTTCCTGTGTACAATACTTTGGGAAAGTGCTTGGCAACACCACGTGTTTGCACTGAAATGTTTTCAAACGCTGTTCTCTGCAGAGAGATCAAGAATTCCTGAAGTCTGCGTTTGTCCTGGTGTACCACGACTCTGTATTCCCTCTGCTCTGCGCCACGTTTCTCCCCAGCTACAAGTGGGCTGAGGAAGAGGTGGAATTGTCTCGCTGGAAGGTGATCCATGACTTCCTGAAAAGGAGCCGGGAGAAGGATGGCGCGCTGGAGTACCTGCTGTCATCAGGAAACACCCACAGAGCCTTTGACATCTCAGAGCTGGCCTACGATTTCTTAGGAGAAGTCAGGGCAAACAATCCTGGAGAATGAACAAGTCAGGTTCTTTAGGGGCATGGTAATAATAAAATTAAATTCTTACCAAAGAGATTGTGTAGGATCTGAATTGTAATGGATATTTCAGCGCAATTAAGATTTTGAGGGAGATTAAAATTATTTCATCCATTTATCTACTGGAAGTTGTATTTTAAATTTTTGCTTTTGCAGTGTTAAACAAGGCTCTGGTTGCCTGTTACTACCTGTTGTAGCCATGTCAGGTGTCATATTTTGCCAAAGCTGAGGTAGCCCTTTTCTCCTCTCATGCAGCTTCCAATTAATTTCCAGTGTTGTTTTAATCAGGATGAACAAAAGGCTCTTTGTCCCAGTCCCCCAGCAGCCTGGGAGCAGGGAAGGGAAAGAGCAGTGATCTTTAAGAATGCTGCTGAGCAAGGACAGCCAGCTTAGGGGAAGAATCCTCTCCTGCCAAACCAGTGACCAGCAGCTTGCTCCGTTTTTAGACTGCCTATTCCTCTCCCCCACTCAGGAGAAGGCTGGGTTACTCCCAGGAATGTGCCTGACCCAACACAAATAACAGCTGGTGGGAATCCTGGGAACGCTGCATTTCCCCAGGATTATTTCCTCTGCTGACCCCTCAGTGCCTTGTGATCACAGGCTCTGTGTGCTGCCCACTCCCAGAGGGAAGTGATTAATCCACTTTCTCTTTAGTGCTGGAGCATCTGGATGCTCCCTGCAGGGCGATGGGGACATTGCCACCAAGTCACACACGGACTTAAGCCCAGGCCAGGCTTGGTTTTGTCTGGTGAGATATAAAACAAGATTTTTGAAAGCCTCCACTGCATGGTGCCAAAAACCAGCTCCCACTGGAGTATCTGTAAACTGGAGCCTCCAGAAACACCACAGGACACTTCTCCCAGCATAGGAAGGGCTCAGACAAGAGATATGGATGTGATCTTTGCTCTGTGTTGTGCAAGAGCTTAGCACAGAAGCCGAGTTCCTGGGGCATCACCTGTCTCACCTGGCATAGCTGGGATATTTCACTGGGACAGTGTCCTCCTGCTGTAGCCCACTGCCCCAGTTAATGGGATCATCCTGTCCTCTCTGGGCCACCAGGCAGAAGTGCCACCCCCAGCCTTCCGTCCCACCTCTTATCTGGGAGTTCTGGGGCCAGGCAGAGTGCGCTGGATGAGACAGCAGGTGCTTCCCAAATCCAAAATGTATTTGCCAGGAGGCAGAAATTCCAGTAGCTCTCCTTCAAACCTTACAGGGCACTTGGGAGCACATTGCCAAACCCTCCCGGTGTGTCTGTAAAATTTACCTGCTAGTTCCTGAAGCTGGATGTACCTGGAGGGTGTGGAGGGGTCTGACGTGATCACGGGAGCAGAAACCTGAACAGAAAGGGGAGGAGGCAACAACAGTGGAAGCAAAAATATTTCAGGCTTGGAAGCGTGCCAAGGACAAGTGTTTGCAGGAAATATTTCTGTCCCGGCAAGGTGTAGAAAGTTTTTTTTCCCCTTTCCCCTCCAATTAATTACCTTGCATTGGTGCGTGTTGGGGCCGGGGTCGGGCTCTGTCGCATCCCGGCCGGCAGCGGGATGCACAAAGCCGCGGTGTCCGGCGGTGCCGGGGCACGGCGCGGTGCCAGCCCCGGCCGGTTCCTGCGCTTACGTCCCGCGGGCGTGTCCCTTAAATCCCGCACGGGAGCGGCGCGGGGCAGCCGAGCGCCAGCGGAGCCCAGCGCAGCGCTGTCAGCGGAGGAGACATGGCCTCGGTGGGTCCCTCTGCAGCCTCCACGCAGCCAGCCCTGCCCTCCGGACCCGCCGTCTTCAAAACCATCCCCTACGCCTTCATCCTGCCGGAGATCGTGAGTATGCCTCGCTCCGCACCCGCTCCCGGCTAAAATCCCCCGAAATCCTCCTGAAGGCATCATTACTGGGATTAGTGACACATTGTCTTTGAGCTAACGCTGAAAGCACGAAGTATTCCTGATGGGGTTTTTAGGAACAGCTTGAGGACAAGGTACACTCCGCTCCATCACAGCCTGTGTGAGGGTCGCTGTGTGAGGCTGGGAGAGGCTGAAGAGCTGCTGGCTCGCCCAGCTCTTGTTATCATGTAGAAACAGCTTGAAAAATCAAGGCAGTTTTGGTCTCAAGTCGTTCCAGGGGTCGAAGGCAATTTGGCGTCTCGTAACGTGTGACATTCCATGACTCTTTCAATTGCTTCTGGGTCCAGAGGGCATCCAGTGGGACTGCCTGAGATAGCAGCTGGTGCACTTTGTCATGGTGCACATGGGCTGGCAACCCACACACCCTGTGCTCCACAGGCACAATCCCTGCCCGTGGTGATGGGCTCAGCTCCCTGCTGCAATTCCCGGGATGGCTCAGGGCAGCATCATCCCGATAAGCCTGTGTGCTTTTTGTGCTCAGCAAATCTTTTGGGTGGATCCAGAATGGGCAACTCACTCCAGGCTGGTGTGTGGAGCTGAAGGAGACTTCCTCGTGCTGTGATTCCAAGCCTCGGAGATGACCGAGCGAGCAGGGCTGTTTGCTTTTCCCAGATAAAAGCGCATTTTCTGGCTTCTCCACCAAATCCCTCGGGGTGACACATTTCCTTGTGTGGAAGGCAGCAGCAAACCCTTCCCTTTCGTGTGAGCACTCATTTCCCATGAGTGTTCAGGGAAACCGGTGCCAGCTTGCTTGTTGTTGCACCGGGATGCCCTGGGAAAGATGCAGCGGTTCCGCTGGCTGCTGTGGCCTGCCCAGGAGGGAGGCGAGGAGGGAACCAGGCAGGAAAAGAGCTTTTCCTCATCCCACACTCATCAGAGGTGCCTGTTTGTCCCTGGCAGCTCTGCGGGACCTGGGTGTGGATCCTCGTCGCTGCTACCTCCGTCTCCTTGCCGCTGCTGCAGGGATGGGTGATGTACGTGTCCCTCACCTCCTGCCTCATCTCCCTGCTGCTCCTCTTAAGCTACCTCCTCGGCTTCCACAGGAACAGCGAGAACTGGAAAGTGCTGGTAAGGAGAGGATGGAACACGGGCAGATGTTGACAGCAGCAGTGTGGGTGCAGGACCACCACGGCTGGTGACCCACCGACCCTCTCCTCCTCTTGCCTCGACTGGAAAGTCCAGGGGAGCTGTGCTGTCGAACCACTGCCTGGGAGGGTTTGGTCCCCGCCCTATGCAGGCACGTGTCCCCCTTGGGGCACTCACAGGAGCGTTGTTTTGCAGGACAGTTTGTACCACGGTGCCACGGCCATTCTGTACATGAGCGCCGCTGTCCTGCAGGCCAACGCGACCATCAACTCTGAGCTCAGCCCCGACGGGCCGCTCAACTACCAACTCAACAGCGCCGCATCGGTGAGTCCAGAGCGCCCTGCCAGGCTGCAGAACACGCAGTTCCCCCTGGGACAGGCAGCAGCACGTGCTGAAGCCACAGCAGAGCCACCCCAAGCCCCACTGGGCACAGCTTCAGCTCCTCACCTCTGTGGGTCATGCAGCTAGGGTCGGCTTCTCAGGGTCCATCAGTTCATGGACAGCCCGACATGGCTGGATCCTGGGAAAAGCTGAGGCTTTGCCTCTCCTTTGAGGCTGGAGAGAGCTCTGGGCTGGGAGGCTTCCCCATGCTGAGAGCACTGGGAGGAGATGGAGTTTGACTCTGCCAGCTGACCCTTCCTCTTCTTCCTCTCGTGCAGTTCTTCGCCTTCCTCACGACCTTCCTATACATCCTCCACGCCTTCAGCATCTACTACCAGTGATCCTGGCAGCACCAGATTCACCTCTGCAGGACGAGGGCTTTCCCAGTGTGAGAGACCCTGCTGTCTTCCCAAGGTGTCCCTGCCCCAGCCCTGCCACCAGGCCTCAGGAATAGCAGGTCCTTTTGCACTTCATCACAGGAGGGATTTTGCTGGCACACACTGCTGTGCCTGTGGGACATTTCCTGCCTTGCCTGGGGGCCACGCAAGGGGAGGGACCGGGCACAGGCCCCAAAGCCTCCAATTCCGACATTCTGCCAAATATTGACACCAAGGAAAGGAAAAAAACCATCACTGTTCCTTCAGCAAACAATCTCCTTTCTTTATATTATTTGCCTTTTTCTGGTTCAGCTCCATCCCTCCCCAACACAAATTCATAACAATGAAACAAGATTGTGTTCCTTGACTTTCAGATGGTTTCATTTGGTAAATGCTGTATTTGGAATAAAGTGTTAACTGACAGATTTTGACTACTCTGTAAGCTGTGTTCACTGAACAAGTTCATTTTACTTCCCAAGAGTTAGAAAAGAAACAAAATGTTCGCTTACAAAGCTACAGCAGATTTTACACAAGTAAATCATAGAACTCATAGGAAATTTCTAGATGTAGTATAAAACTACAGCACGAAAAGAATGATGACAACAGACATTTAGAGCAGTTCTCCTCCCATGTCTCCTGATTCCCATTACAAAACCTGCAGCTGCGAGTCCAGGCACTGGCACCGCCGTCAAGGAGCACTGGTTACTGGTGTCCTTCTTCCATATTCTCAGCCTCGGAGTGGCTGGAAGGCACTCCCTCCTCTCCCTGCTCCAGGGAATCCTGCAGGTCTGGGATAGTGTTGGCTCGCAGCACATCCAGGTAGAGCAGGTAGTCCTGGAGGCAGGCTGGCAGCGGCAATTCCCGGATCACGCGCTCCGAGCGCAGCCGCTCGCTCCCCAGCAGGGACCGGATCTCCAGGCGGCACAGATGGGACAGGGAAGGAAGGAAGGCTGGAAAATGAAACCCAAGTCAAACACAGAGCAGCTCTTACTACACAAATATATTTACTAATAAAAAAGGAAATAAAGAGAGAACTGAATCTCAGTTTCCCCAAATAACCCCCTTAAAACATCCTCATTAGCTTCAAACACTCTCAAGGAAGTATTATTAAATGACATTATCACTTGGACAACTTAAAAATTTTTACAGACCCTTTTAAAGAAGAATTTTCTTTGAAAGGAATCATTAACAAAGACATCGAAGTGCAGTTTCTCAGCCACATAACACGTAACTGCTTTTCTGAAGGATGAACTATGAAAAATTCCTGCACAACCAACTAAATCTTTCTGGCTTGTTGCTTTTTGATTATGTTTAATTTTTGTGGTTTGTATTTAATTACTGTCCAGTGCTTACAAAACAGGACAGATGCTTCATTAGAAATACAAATTAAGAAAATAAAACATAATTAAGTCATATTGTCATCTTCTCCTCAAGCTCCCCATCTGCAGCCTGGAAGCTGGTTACGTGGAGACATCATTTTCCTGCATGTATTCCTTACCAAAATGGCTCTTCCAAGTCCAAGTGAATTTCTCCTTGTATTGGGAAAGGTGTTGCTCCACAATTGGAGGAAGTCTGCTCCAATTCATGAACTCCAGGACAAAATTAAGGACATCCTCACCCATGGAGAAAATCCTGCGTAACAAAGACTCCCCTAAAATACCTTTTAAAACTATTTGTAGATTACAAAATAAAAGACCAAGAAGCATTGCATGTGATACACAAGGACAGTGAGATTCATTCAATCACTGAGTTGCAAATTTGTCGTGTGTTTACTACAGCCTGCAGAAAATACAAATATTTCATAACTCTAAGTGTAATCCTGTAGTGCCCAATTAAATATAAATCATCAACAAGCTGTTATTTATATGTGGAAAAACTTTAATAGTAATAATAAAAAAAATCCAACTGGAATTTTTGCCACATTGTGTTAAAACAAAAGTCTCAAACTGCATCCGTTTCCTCTCCTCCCAGCCTTGGCCCAGCTTCACTTCCCATTTGCTTCCCATCCCTCCTGACCTATTTCTCCCATTGGAATTTCTTCTTACCATGGCTGTATTAAAGTATTACACACGCAATTTGCAGCTAAATTTGGGGGTTAATTAGAGATGTTCGATATAAATTTGGGAAGTGATGCCTTATCGGTACCCTAGAGAAAGGCAATTTCCAATCTGGCTTTCTTCCTAAATAAAACTGTTTTACTGCCTCCAGACATGACGTGTGAATGATTTATTTCAGACTTTCCACAACCCCTCCTGTTCCTGATGGCGGCAGCTGATTATCAAGGGCCATCCTGTGAAAGCCCTCGCTCAGTAGCAGCTCTGCACATTAGCACGAGTTGTTTAAGTAAATAAAGACAAGGCTCCCTGCTCACCAGAACTTGCACATGAAATTCACAGGGTTGAAACCAGCCAGGAGCAGGCAGGGCAGCCATTCCTTGTATTCCTTCTGCACCGTGCTGCTGTAGTGGATGAAGTGCATTAATTCCTCCTCCGAGGGCAGGGAACAGCCCAGCCTCAGGAAGCGCCGGAACAGAGCAAACTTCTTATGGCACAGGCAGTGTGCCAAGTTAATCCCACGCAGGGTGATCCCGTATTCCAGGAGAACATCGATGAACTGGTAATACCTGTGAGCAGGGAAGGAACATGGCATCCCATGAGCTTCCCCTCAGAAAGCATCTACCACTTTTTACATCTGTCTCCGATAAAACATTTTAAAATGGTTTTATTGAAATCTTTTCATCATTACCCACTGCAACAAGGTAATAGGATAAGGACTGAGACTATGACTGGTGTTACCTTTTGGTGATTAGATGGCACATTGCTCCATTGAAGTGGTGATGTGTTACCTGCCTTGTTCACAGAGCAATCACCTGCTCTGCATCCTTTCTTAAATTATTTATTATAAAGCAACACCAGGGCAGAAAGGGAAATATGGTGTCCAAGGATTTTTAAAGGCAGCTTCCTAAGAGCAGGCCACAAACTAAATTCACTACTAACAAACCTCATTAATTTAAATTCTATGCCATAACCAATTTCAATCTATGGACAAAGAAATAATCTGTTAAAAGCTGAGAGGATTCAAAACCCGTTTTTGAAGATGTTTTCCTTAGTGCAGCACGAGTCACATTCCAGGACTTCACATTAATATTCCCAAGGAGGAATATTAATGACTGTCTGCAAAGGGGGCACACACTGGAATTCTGGAAAAATATTACATGATGGCAGCAGAGGGAGGAAGGTGGGAAACTACACATTTAAAGTAAGTTAATTAAAGCAAATATAATTAACTTGAAAACAGAAGAGGCTTGCTTACTGCTTTTGGAAGATCATGCACATGGGGGACCTGCAGTCGAAGTCCAGGCACTCCTGGGCATCGGGGCTGAAGCCCTGTTTGAGCAGCATTTCCAGGCACTCCCCGTCCCCGCCGTAGAGCGCGGAATACACGGGGCTCACCTTGCCCTCGCCCCTGTCACAAATCCGGTCTGTGATGGGAATCAGCAACTCCAGTATCCTGCAGGTATTTAAAATCACTGCTTTCTGATCTTATGCAATGATTCATCTTAAACACACTCTCGTTTTTTCACAGGCTCATTGCAGCTTTGGAAGAAAATCATGTATTTTCACTCTTGCATTTGCACCTTTATAATTCCATACATAGACCTGTGGCAAACTTTGTGCTTTGGGATGGATTTGGGCTGGAAAGAAGCATCTTAAACCAAATACTAGGGACAGCTACTTCCTATTACCCAACAATTCTTTTTACAGCAACAGAACACCACTGCACATTAAATCCCAACTCCAAGGAAGTTTGGAAGCAAACTGGAAATGTGAGTTACAAATGAAATGAATTCTGATTTTTCTGGTTCACACAACTAATTCTGTTTACAACTGACACCCCAGGCCACATCACATTAGTGACAAACACCAGTTCCTTTGCTGCTGGAACTTACTGGTGCTGTGTAAGAGTTGCCAGTGATGTATCATCATTTATATATTTTTAAGTGCTGTCCATGTGTGAATCATGGAGTTCCTGAGAGATCCTTCTCCCCAGTGGTCTACTCCCAAAACTTCCTTCCACTCTTGGCTCTCTGCTGTGGAACTGACTTGTAGCACTGAAACTGGGCAAAGCTACAAATGCATCTATGGAAAGGTTAAAGAAACTGCTTTGTGGCTTTGATTTTTCTGGCTGGTGCAGCTAATTCAATATTTGCATATAATTACTTCTGCTACTTAACACAGAATTCTAATTAGCAGCTGTTCAAGTCATGTATAATGTATAATACGGTTATTTGTATTTTTAAATGGAAAAGCAATATGGTCATGGAGTGATTTGATACCTCGTTCAGCACCATGGAAAACCCTCTAAATTCATCAGGATATGGATCAAACCCAGGTTAGATGCTGAATTAAAAATCCTATAATCACAGAACAGTTGGGTGATGCAGTTCTACCTCCTGCAATGGGCAGAGACACTTCCACTATCCCAGGTTGCTCTAAGCCCTGGCCTGGAACATTTCCAGGGATGGCACAGGGAAGCATTTTCCCCTAATATTTCATCTAAACCTACTCCCTGTCAGTGCAGAAGAAACTACTAAGAGACATTTAAACTAAGAAAATAATCAGAGCTTATAAACTATAGATCAGTTTGAACACTTAGTTTTTCCCCCTTTTAGGGCTGAACCTCCTCCTTTGGGGATCAGATTTGTGTGACCAGGACCTACTTTGCATGGCCCATCTCAGCTGCTGCATGAATGGGTAGCTGCCAGTTATCCTCGTTGCAGTAGAGGTTTGGGTCTGCCCCTGCAGTCAGCAGCAGCTTCACACAATCCAGGTGTCCCTCCTGTGCAGCAATCAGCAGGGGAGTGGCCTTGTCCTTGGCCTGGCAGTTGACATCTGCACCTGACACAAAACAAAACCAAAGTCACGTCCATCAGTCACGATTTTTCACGTGCTGGCTTCAAACTCAGCGAGTTTTCTGCAGCAATAAGGAAATAAAACCTCCAATATTCGAAATGACGACGCGCAGGAGCAGAGCTAAAATTGCATTTAGTGGGAGTCGATGGAAGCGTAGCAAGGGAAATGAAGGCTCGTGGTTACCGTGGGACAGAAGCAGCTGCAGACTCTCCAGCTGGCCATACTGAGCAGCCACAAACAGAGGGGTAATTCCA